TAATTTTTACTTTTCATGTGTCTCAGTGAAGTATTTCTGAATAAGTTGTTAAATATTCTACCATGCTTCTTAGCTGCAAACATGTTTTAAGCCAACAACCTTTCTTTGCAAGTCAGTGCTGTACATTCACCATTTGTTTTCCCCCAGTAAATGTTCAAGCACAAGAAATAAGTGAAGCAGATGCACTGGATTGTATTTAAAGACACTGTAACTGCTTTATGGCTGGATTTTGCTGCTCTTAACCTCAATTTTTCTCAATAAATCAGTAGGAAACAGTTGAGTTGTGCAGATTCAGTTCTTTAAATCAGCTCTTGAACTTTGAACTTGAACATTGCTCTTCAGAATCATCCCCCCCCCCCCTCCTCACCCTCCTCACCATACTCAACAACACTGTGTCTGCTGTGGAGACCTTCAAGTTTCTGGGATCCACAATCTCCCAGGACCTGAAGTGGGCCCCCAACATCAACACCATCAGGAAAAAGGCCCAGCAGGGGTTGTACTTCCTGCGACAGCTCAGGAAGTTCAACCTGCCTCAGGAGCTGTTGATCCTGTTCTACTCAGCCATCATCCAGTCTGTTCTCTGCTCCTCTATCACTGTGTGGTTTGGATCGGCCACCAAACAGGACAGGAACAGACTACAACGGAGTGTCAGGTCTGCAGAGAGGATCATTGGTTCCAGCCTGCCCTCCATCCTGGACTTGTACACCTCCAGAGTCAGGAATCGGGCTGGAAAGATCACTGCAGACCCAAATTCCATGTATGCGTAGACACACATGGCCAATAAAGCTGATTCTGATTCTGATTCTATACTCAACCACCGACAGTGTCGGTTCAGTGAGTTCAAGTTGCCACTAGAGGGAGCAGACGGTCAACACAACACAAAGAAAGCAACTGCGGTTCTGCCCCAGTTTATAAACTGGTGTTTATTGCTGAGAGATTTCATGAGGCTGTTGACAGAGAAGTGAGACATAGGCAACCGGTGTCAAAATCACACTCTGCTTGATCTTCATAACACAGGGCGCTCATACAGTGCAGCACGGATACGCTCATAACCAAGCTCCTTACATTGTGATTTTCATGGAACTAATTAAATGTCATAGTAGCCTATCAATTCAAAGGACTTTTGTAGTCATGACCTCCATTTTTAATTGGATTCACACCAGGGTTATAAGCGCCGGCTCTATCCGTGGCCTTTGTAAAATGAGACTGGGCAACGGCTTCGACTGTGGACACATTTTCCTCGAAGAGACAGTGAGCAGATGGGCAGAAGGCCCACCACGCGCACACACACACACACAGACACACACACACACCACACCACACACTAATGCCAGCTGTGGCATGGACTGAGTTACATTCAGGACTGCCAGGCCAGTCTTGAGGCCCGATAACATCTTCATTTTCTCTTTCAATCTTAAAGTGGATCTCTAAAGTGTCTGACAATGAAAAATCAATGTTTGAAATCATTCATTGCTGGATATTGTCTTTGTGAGGCAGCAATCTTATTGATTTCAAACTATATGCTCTGGAGAACTAATTTCCACATATTCAATCTCTTGATCTGTAATACTTGCAGCACGGCGAACATTACAGATGAAAACATTAATTATCCTCGGATTATCTTTATATTCAGAAGTGACACAACAATAGGACCAAATAAAGGCTTAAACTGTATAGTTTGGTGTTGCTGATGCATATTCCTTTGTTTGTTTTTTAAGTGTACGATGCCCTCAATTAGACAAACATGTAAAAAGCAGAGAAAATATCTATTGGCTTCAGGTGGCCTTGGGTTTATTCTATTGCCTCATGCTGCTCATTTGTGCCAAAACTAAACAGCTTTCTCAATAAGTGAATATCCTGTTACATGTTCTCAACTGCTTTTACTTGAGAAACCCTTCTTCTTTTACTTAAGACATGTCAGCTCTGATATGCACAGAGAATACTCCTGCACATGCAACCAGCTATGTCCTGTGGTCAAGAAGTGCAACTCTCAGCAAAAAGGCCCCCTTGTTGTTAAATTTCATGGGGCAGGGAGGAGGTTCGCAGCAAGGAGCACGTTTCACTGAGCAGGGAGTGGTGTCAGCCTGGCATGCCGGGGTGCTCTTGATGGGGGATGACAGAAGGTTCATGGATGGATTGGTAACCTGAAACACAACACCTCTTATCTTCTGCCTCAACAGGGGAAACAGGAGTTGGCACGTGGAAGACATTCACGAGCAGATTTCGGGTTGACTCGCCTGAACAATGCGAGAGTGAAGGTCAAAAGCAGAGGTGCTTCACGTTACCTCGTCTGGCCCGGTCTTTGCTCTTTTACACTATATTTTATAGCCATGCTAACGATTTATTGCACTTTTATTAACAACTGAAATCCAACTGAGACCACACGTTCTTCGCCAGTGTGACTGGAGCACAGGGAAACACAGGCAGATGGGCCTGCAACGTGAAAAAAGCAAAGTTAGAATGGAGGCAGAATGTAATACAGAGGAATGGGAAACATCTTAAAGCACTGGCAACAACAAATGGATTGATCTTCCAGAGAGCTGACAGTTGCTGTTAACGCCGCAGGTCTCCTGAGCTTTTTAGGTGCACAGTTCAGAGATCATCGAGGCTTTCTTTCAGTCGCAAATTTGGGACCTCAGACTTCACTGAGCAGCGCTCTGTATCTTTCTCGTTCTGCACACTTGTGGTTTTCTTTGCCGTATTCTCGAGATATCATGTTGACCTGCTCCCAAGTGATTTTCCTTTCCAATCTGCTGCAGTCTTTCACTTCTTAACATTGTGGAGTAAAGTTGCTCTAAATATGAACATTTCATTGCCCTGAATTTACTGCTTTATATTTAATTGATATGCATCTGCTGCGGACATTGCTGTAATTAATGCAGGACTATATTTTCAGCCAGTTAACCCACATCGTTGCAAGTTATGGCAGCATCTGCAGATAAGTGTTGGACACTATAGAGACAGGTCGGAAGTCTGAAGTATTTTCCTCTTCTTAAATGTTTCAGTGAAGCTCCCTCTCAAGATTCTGGATTTTACAGGATATAGAAAATATTTAATCTGATATTATTTTTAGTTCACTGACCTGAATCCATGTTATCTTAAACAGTTACCAAGTCTGTTTCTGCTTGTTATGGTAAAGTGCAAAATGTGGGCTACTGGGTGCAAAAGATAGCGCTCTCAGCAACTGTAGTGACCTTGTACATTCAACATGAATTTAGGGCCAAACCTCTTTAAAATCACGTAATACTGAGAGCTGGTGCTGTGCACTTTTGAACTTTGGTCTCAACGCCTGATTCAGAAGCATGTTCTTTCTTGAGGCTGATGGGTAATCAAGTAGCCAATATTGTTTCATTGATTCTTTCAGTGTTTCACTATTTTAGTATTAACACAGTTTTAATGACAACATTTTCCAGTATACCTCAACAAACTCTTTCACATTTCATATTTTAAACCTTTGTCCCAAATAAACTGTTAAGATAAAGCAATACATTACTCAGATTCCCACTCCAATATAAAATGTGTCAAACTAATATCAAAGCCTTTTGCACATAACTTAAACAAAAGCCTTGCTCAACCAGCCCT